GGGCACGTGGAGATGTGGCTGTGGACGTGGCTGGGCACGTGGAGATGTGGCTGTGGACGTGACTCTGGACGTGGGAGGCATTGTTGGGGGAGAGCTGGGAGTGCAGCTTACCCCCTGCCCCCTGTGCCCTGCTCCCCTCAGCCTTGGGTCCGGTGTGGCTCCGAGGGACATGGAGTTGGGTTCACTGCATTGGGAAAGGGTTCAGGCCATGGCCTTACAGGAGGCACTGCCACCCCCGGGCAGGTGGGCCCCACACCCTGTGTTGGCCTCGGAACTATAGGGTGCCCACCTTGGAGGTGTGGCTGGTCACAATCTCTGCAGCCACCCAGGTGCTGACGTCATCTGCGTTTCTTAGAAGCTGTAACAGATACTTGTCCTGAACGTAATTGGGCAGAAATAAGCTGCAGGTTTTGGCCGAAAGAGACTCAGAAGAGCTGGCTCTGGAAGAGAAATGTGGCCCCCGTCACCCCAGGAGATGTGCAGGTGGCCCTGCCCGGCCCCGGGCTGCTGGTGCGGAGTGGGCTGGGGTCGGGCCACGAGGCTGCTCCGACGGGCAGACACCGCTCTCTCGCATCTCCAGAGACAACAGCCATCTCCTGCTGGTCAGGAGCGCCCATGACACTCTTACAGGGAGCCCCCGAGACCCTCCACCGCCGCTCCCAGCCGAGGGCCCCGGACGCTCACTTGGGGATGGCGGTGCTCTTGTCCATGACGCCCAGGGCCCGTGAGTTCAGGAAGTGGACCGGGTGGCACTTTTGAAACAACTCCTGCCCAGACCATGGAAACGAGGTTCAGGCTTCCATCCCTTAGGGCCCTGTGGCCAAGGCAGCGTCCCAGGGAGCCAGGGAGGGTGGGGGTTTTCTGGGGGCCATCTCTGCAATCCCAGGTTCAATGCCCACCCAACAGTCCACGGGGTCCACCACAGGGCTCCCCACGTGCTTGGCCCCCAGGGGCTCATGGCGTCCAGGGCAGCCCTCATGACAGCAGGTGGATCACTAGGTTGGCACTACTGCTACGTGATGTGGGGTCCCGGGATGGCAGGGACCTGGGAAGAGGCCACCTGAGGACTGGCTGTGGCGGCGGCAGAGATGCTGGGCAGGGCCCTGGCAGCTGGGTGGGGCACAAGGAACTGGGTTGGTCCAGCTCTGGCAGAGGGACTGAGGGGAGAGACTCAGCACCCCACATAGCCCTCAGGGCGTCCTCTAGTGCCTGTGAGGCCAGAGTGCTGGGCAGAGGCAGGACAAGCCCCAGCGGGCAGTGGTCTGGAGAGGAGGACTCACAGCTGCCTGAACCTGTGCACCTGGCTGCCACCCCCAACCTGTGCACTCGGCAGCTGCCCCTTCTCTGCCTGTCTGTTCCTCTGGGAAGCAGCTGCTGAGGGCCCTGTGGGCGCCGAGTGTCTCTGGGGCCCCGACTCGCAGGTGGCCGGGGCACGGATCCTCGTCGTCCTCACCTGCTGTAGCAGCGTGAGCTGACTGAAGAGCTGATGAGTGCTGTACTCGGTCAGGAAGTAGGGCCCCTTCTCGCTGGTCTTGGCGCAGGGGCCGTAGAAGTCCTCCAGGAAGCAGGGCTTGGGCAGGGCCGCGGCAATGGTGTAGGGACGCTCCTTGTGCGGCGGCAGCACCAGCCCGTTGCCTCGGGGCAGCCTCCAGGGGAAGCTCTGCAGGGCAGGCCAGGCACTGAGGGGCCCAAGCTCCGTGTCCCCTCCAGGTCAGGGGTCCAGGGAGGCGGGGCAGGGTGAGGACCAGGTCAGGTCCAAGTCCAGGACTCCTCAGACTGGCCCAGCCAGAGACAGACAGCAGCCTGCCCACCCATAGCTGTGCTGGCACAAGGATGCCTGTCCTGGTCACTTCAGCAGGTCCCCCAGGGGCAGGATGCTGAGGGTTAATGGAAAGGGCATTTATCTCCCCACAATGGCTTCTTCCACCTTAGTCTCTGGCCTGAGGGTCAGAAGGTTGGGGTCAGTGAGTCACAGCAGGACCCTCCTCACCTGAGCACCTGGGACAGGGCAGGAGGTGCCAGCCCAGCAGGGCTGCCTGCGACCGGGAACATGGAGGGTATACGTGAATGTGCACGTGTGGATATGAGGCTGCATGCATGTATGTGTGGATGTGTGAGGGTGCACGTGTGTGTGCATGTCTGGATTGTGTGAACATGCATGTGGATGTGTGAAGGTGTACACGTGTGTGCATATGTGGATTGTGTGAGTGCATGTGGATGTGTGAAGGTGTACACGTGTGTGCATATGTGGATTGTGTGTGTGCATGTGGATGTGTGAAGGTGCGTGTGTGTGGATTGTGTGAGTGCACGCAGGTGTGCCCGTGTGGATGTGTGTGATGTGCACAGGTATGTATTTGCACACAGGTGTATGTGCACACGTCTATATGTATGCATGTATATGGGTGTGCCCATGTGCACGTGTATGTGTGTATGTGTGGACTGTGTGAGTGCATGTGGATGTGTGAAGGTTGTGTGTGTGTGTGTGTATTGTGTGAGTGCACGCAGGTGTGCCCGTGTGGGTGTGAGATGTGCACAGGTATGTATGTGCACACAGGTGTATGTGCACACAGGTATATGTATGCATGTATATGGGTGTGCCCATGTGCACGTGTGTGTGTGCGCATGCACCAGCTGTGCCCTTGAGGCTGAGCTCAGGGAGCCACATCCGCCTGTCCACGGAGGCCCTCCCCTGAGAAAGGACCCCACCTTCCTGGAGATGCCGTCCTCTGAGAGCCTCTTACAGAGGGCGTTGAAGGGTCTGGCATCCTCCTCGGCCTCCCTGGGGTTCTCCAGGTCGGTGCTGCGAGGGCTGCCCTCGGCCCGCCGGTCCATGCCCACCTCCAGGAGGCCCAGCAGGTGCTTGGCAGAGCCGTCCAGGGGTAGGATCTAGGCAGAAGCACGGTGGGGGAGTCACTGCCACCTTCTGGAGGAGGGCGGCACCTCCGCTGTGGGAGCCCAGGGTGCACCTGCCCAGCTTGGCGCCACGGTCACCTTGGAGGAGATGAAGTCCTCCAGCTTCCCCAGCAGCCCGCTGTTCCGAGTGAAGTCCACGGTGTAGCAGTCCTCCACCCAGGCCTGCAGGACGCAGAGGCTCCGCCTGTAGATCTTGGTGAAGGTCGAGGTGGGGTCCTGGTGGGCCCTGGAGACGCGGGGGAGCTGTTGAGCTGCCAGGATGTGGGAGTCGGGGGCAGAGGCCCAGGGGCTGCGTGAGGTTCTCCCGGAGAGGCAGTGTGGGACCAGGCTCCATGAGTGCAGAGGGCTTAGGGGGCTGGGCGTCTTCTGTGGGTCCCTCCCCCGAGGCGGGAGCTGGCTGGCTGATGGCCTAAGGTGCCCAGCCTGGGCATATTGGGGCAAGGGGGTGCATGGCATGTCCTGAGGGGGCATCAGGTCAGCCCAGAGAGAGGCAGAGCCCCTCCCCCCTTGGCCCACCACCCCTCTCCTGACCCCAGCTGCTGGCCATGGGTCCAGAGGGAGGCTAGGGGCCAGCAGGACCCTCTGCTTGGTGCTCCCCCTTCCCCCCAGCTGACCTTCTGGCTCTCACTGCCTGCCCACCTGCCCTCCGCTTTCCTCCCGGGCCAGCAGGAGGAGACCCCGACTCCCCCAGGTCCCCTCCCAGAGCTCCCAGGTGCCCAGGCCACCGCCCTCCTGCCCCAGCTGCTTTCTCAGCATCCGTGTGTGTCCCCACCTCCAGCCAGACCTCCAGCCAGGCTTCCCTGGCCCTTCACCCCTTTGGGTCGGCAGGGGCCACCTCATTCTTCATGGGGGCTAAACCAGGCCCATGGGCGCCCACCCTGCCCCAGGAGCGCGGTACCTGGTCAGCGTGCTGTTGATGCGGTCGAGGAGGAAGTGCAGGAAGTCCTGGGGTGTGCAGAAGTAGCGGAAGGTGTAGAGGAACTGCTGCACGTAGCCCTCCAGGAAGGCGTCACTGTGGGACAGGACGGGGTGGCAGTGAGGCAGCCGGGTGGCCTCACCCCAGGGCTCGGCTAGTGTTCTGGGGGTGTGATGGCGTGTGTGTGTGCGTTCTCTTTGTGTATCACTGTCAGGAGAATCCCCAGAGAAATTAAAGGGGGGACATGGATAACAATTCCCAACTACTTCCAGCACCAGGGCCTTTTTTTTTTTTGGGCAGACTTTCGCTCGTCACCCAGGCTGGAGTGCGGTGGCGCGATCTCGGCTCACGACAGCCGCCTCCTCCCGGGTTCAAGCAATTCTTGCCTCAGCCTCCCAAGTAGCTGGGACTACAGGCAGCCGCCACCACGCCCGGCTAATTTTTGTATTTCAGTAGAGACGGGGTTTCACCATGTTTCCCAGGTTGGTCTCAAACTCCTGACCTCAGGTGATCCACCTGCCTTGGCCTCCCAAAGTGCTGGGATGACAGGCGTGAGCCACCGCGCCCGGCTGAACACCAGGGCCTTTCTGAACGCGGCCTGTGCGGGACTTTGGTGTCTCCACTTGCAGAACCCGTTAGCTCTGGAAGCTGAGGGAGCCGGTGCCTCGGGACTGGGCGCAACGCTGCACACTCAGAGGTTCTGGCTCTTCACTGGGTGAAACTGGGCCACCCTCAGGAGACACTGGCCAGGGCCCTGCATGTGGGTCTGGGACTGTCCTGGGAGCCCAACGGCCACGGTCAGGAAGCCGAGGTCCAGCAAGGCCGCCTCCCACACTGGAGGAGTCTCAGGCAGGAAGGAGACGGCGTGGCCCTGGAACAAGGGGCCTGGTCACCTGCTCACCTGGGGGCCGAGGACAGAGGTGGCCACAGCTCACGCCAGGCCCTACACAGCTCCAGCCCCAGGCTGCCCTGCAAAGGTGATGCCCACCAGGTCCACAGAGCAGAGAAGCCCCTCGTGACCACATGCACGGTCAGGAGACGCTCCTTTCATGGAAGCACAGTGCTCACACTTACACCGTGCACGCCACAAACTCCACAACCAGACACGCACACCACACACGTGCACACACACCACACTACACTACACTCCACACCACACACACCACACTACACACCACACTACACACCACACCACACATACGTGCACACACACCACACTACATCCCACACCACACACCACACTACACTCCACACCACACACCACACACACCACACTACACTCCACACCACACACACACCACACTACACCCCACACCACACACACACCACACTACACTCCACACCACACATATGTGCACATACACCACACTATACCCCACACCACACACCACACCACACTACACCCCACACCACACACACACCACACTACACTACACACCACACA